TCTTACCGGCGAGTTGTCTGGGCGCGGTCGCATACGAAATTCTGGACATTGGAGAGAATCTAGAGTTAGATGATCTGTTCTAAACTTGTGTGCCACGTCTGTATATCGAGAATCATATTGGGCTGGGCTGGGCTTGGCATGGCAGATATCAAATAGGCCCAGTTAGTTACCGTCTTCTCTCATGTCTCTCTTTTTGAGCATACGTATTTGATGCACTAAGATAACGATTCTTAATATGCACACCAAATAAACATGTCGGAGTATGAAGTTTCTACATGATTTAATCACTTTTGTTAAACCCGAGCTCTAGTATCACAAGGTCCATGAACCTGAGCATTAGTATCACAAGCGTAATATTCTACATGATTTAATCACTTTTGTTAACTTTTAAGGCTAATGAGAGAAAATGAATGGACAAATCAAAACATTACTCGCAGACGATAAAAAGTTAATAAAGAGTCAAGACAAAGGCAGAGCTCATCAAATCCAAAAGCTAAATACAATCACAATATCTTAATCTAATATAAAAGCTTTAGAGTTAAGCTTTGATACTTTGGTCTAAATCCTCAGAATCATCATCTTCTTCTTCGCTTCCTCCCCATCATCAGTTGGGGGAGGCTTGAGATAAGCCAGTCTGTGCATCCATCAGGAATACAATGCTTCGAAATGAAAGATCTTGTCAGGGACCATGTCTTTCGAGAGAATAATCAAGTTTCCTGGTGCACGATTCTTCAATGTCCAGTAACAAGCAAGTAAATTTCGCATTTGTTTAGTCCCTGGAAAAGGAAAAGAGGACATGTTAGAGTATTATTATCATTAAGTAAAAGGAAGAGAAAAGCTTGTTGAACAAAGGAATTCACCTTCGGTGTTGATTCCTTCAAAACCCTCACTCTCGAGAGTTTCTTTGATAGAATCGTAAATCGTACGAGGATCAAATTCTGAACTTCTGATTGACATTTGTTGATGATGATGGTTCCGCGTACGGCGATGGTGCCGGAGTTTCTGACACCGACGCTGAAATCCTCCCGTAGATATTTCAGTTCTCATGGTCAATTTGGCGTTGCAGTCTTTCGATTTGGCGGGAGAAGATTTCTCAATCCGAGCAGAGTCTTCGCCCTTTCTGAAACCAGTAAGCTCGTGACGGAGTTTGATCCGGAGATTCCGTTGGAGAGAGCATCGACTCCGCCCACCTCTTGGTACACCGACTCTCAATTCTACCGTCTCGAGCTCGATCGGGTCTTTTATGGAGGATGGCAAGCCGTAGGTTAGGGAAAATTTCACAATTTTTTGTTTTTGTTTTCAATGCGTGTTGACTGTTTTCTCTAGGGTTCTTCTTACTTTGCCATTTGCTTGTTTTTGATTTTTCAGGATACTCTGATCAGATTAAGAACAATCGCGACTTTTTCACCGGAAGGTATCCACACATAACACTCGGATTGTTCGTCTAACTAGAGAAACTTACAATTGCAACAAATCTCTTTCTTATTTTCTCATATGAGAATTTTGAAACATTGGTTGCAGACTTGGGGACGTAGAATTTTTGGTGTGTAGAGATGATAATGGAAAGATCAATGCTTTTCACAATGTATGTTCTCACCATGCCTCTGTATTGGCATCTGGAAATGGGAAAAAGTCTTGCTTTGTGTGCCCTTATCATGTAAGCTTTACCATAGATTCAGAACCGTAACTGAGCTGATTACGCGGTGAATGTTTACGGTTTTGAGTCATATTATCTCGTTCTTTGTGGCAGGGATGGACGTATAGCTTGAACGGGTCGCTTGTCAAAGCTACTAGAATGACTGGGATAGAGAACTTTGCTCTAAATGTATGGCATTGTTGTTGCGAATAAGTGTGTGTTCGCTCGCTTTTGTTATTTTGAAAGAAGAGAGAATCTGAATTCTTGCACTTTATTGTTTGAGGAAATTATAGGAAATGGGACTCAAACCTCTAAGAGTGGCTGTCTGGGGACCTTTTGTTCTTCTCAAGGTGACCAAAACCACACTGAGTCAAGAGGAACTCGTGACCGATGACGTAGTGGCAGCAGAATGGCTTGGTACTTCTGTGGGGAGGTTGAGCCAAGGTGGAGTTGATTCCCATCTTAGTTTCATATGTAGACGCGAATACATCATTGATTGTAATTGGAAGGTGAAATCTTGCTCTTAGTATATACTCTTTTTAAAAAACAGAACTCCAAAGGTTGATGAGGGATCTTTGGAAACTTTTGCAGGTGTTCTGTGATAACTACTTAGATGGTGGCTATCATGTGCCTTATGCACATAAAGGTCTGATGTCAGGCCTTGATCTCGAAACCTATTCTACAACGGTATTTACCTTTTGCTGCATCCGAAGCTACGGCCAAACTTTTGACTTTCGATACATGATTATAATCTCTTGTTAGTTGCTTCATGTGACGAACTTTCTGTTTTAAGATATCAGACATTGGAAAGGGTTAGTATCCAAGAATGTGGAGGTGGTTCCAAGGCTGGTGAAGAAGACGGTTTCAGTAGGCTTGGATCTCAAGCACTATACGCTTTTGTCTACCCAAACTTCATGATAAATAGGTAACAGACATCAAGTCCATTGCTCAGCTTGTTAAACTAGTTTTGATTTATCTTCCAATGAAGTGACTTGACTCACTTTGAATGGATTATCTTTTCAAGGTATGGACCTTGGATGGACACAAATCTAGTGATACCTTTAGGACCACGGAGATGCAAAGTAGTCTTCGACTATTTTCTTGATCCTTCTTTAAAGGTAAAACAAACCAACAACATAAACCTATATGGTCTGACCCTGTATAGCAAAATTTGAAAATATTATTTTGGCTTTAGGATGATGAAGCTTTCATCAAGAGAAGTCTGGAAGAAAGTGAGAGAGTTCAGGTACGAGAATGAATGATCACATTATACCCATTTATATATATTGCCACTTAAAGAGACATTAGTTTATGGAATGTGTAAATATGGTGAATATAGATGGAAGATGTTGTGTTGTGTGAGAGTGTTCAAAGGGGTCTTGAATCGCCGGCTTATGACAAAGGAAGATATGCTCTGGTGGAGAAAGCAATGCACCATTTCCATTGTCTGCTACATCAGAATTTAAAACTGTAGATTACCTAATTGTAGCATATATTGTACATGTTTGTCTTTGTGTATATATGTCTTTATGTAAATATTCTACAGTTCTACTCTCTTTGCACCAATCATAAATTTGAAAGCCTCTTTGTATAGTTATGTATGTCACACTGGGGGACACATTTAGTTTTATTTAGTTGAGGTATCCTTTGAACTTTTGGATATACCTTAGTTTTTGGAAAATTGTTGGTTTATTAAGTCCGAGATTCAATCTGAATTTTATCCGTTTCGGTTTGATTTGGATTTAGCTTGTAACATCAAATGGTAAAATGGGTTTTATTGTTGTATTTCGATTGGATTATGCTGGTTTTGTGGTGTATATTTAACCAAATTTAGCTAAAGACCGTTTCTCACTGGGACACATTTAATTTGGAACTTTGGATTAGTGTAGACTTTGGACATTTGATGATGTAACAGCAGTCATGTTCGTGTGCAAGTCGCTGCGGCTGCGTCAGCGTCAGCGACAAAGCAAACGACTCTATGGTGAAGATAAAAGTAACTGAAAGAGTCATTAAAAGTGGCCGCAGGTGTTGTCCGCGATCTTTCATGGCCGCTACAAATTCTGGCGGCAGCTTACGTGTGCAACGTGATCATAATACGAGACGCAGCGACACAAATTTACGTCCGCCACGACTGTCATTAAACTTGTTTTGCACTGTCTCTGACGCAGACACAGCGACTTGGAGAAGAACAGAGCTAGCAACTAAACGAAGAAGATAGGTAAATTCTGCATTTGAATATATGTATTTATGTCCCACATTAAAACGAAGAAGCCGTTTGATAAAAGTACTTCGAGAGAGGTAAATTCTGCATTTGTAGTATCATAGTATTCACAGGTTGGATGGATACTACTACTAAAAGCCACTTCTGGTATTTAACTTTTGTTCCTCTTTTCAAACTAAGTATTAACCTGAAAATCAACACAAATTTTCAAAGCTTTAGTAACGAACATAGCATTTCATGGTTGGGTAAACGAGAAAGTAAATTTAGCTACCTGATGAGTTCCTTCTCCACCGGTTTATCCTGAAATATTGGCTGACTGGAGTTTCTGGAACCGGTATTAACTTTCCGATCACCGCCAATGGCCAACTGGTTATAAAAAACACAAACAGGATCTATCTGGTGAATTTATGAAATAAGCTTCTACTAATTCTTGTTTTCACCCAACCAAAGCTCTGTATCTATATACAGATTAGTAGACCTGGACCTAAATCAAATTGTAAACCTGATTATGTACCCCTACAATAGACAAAATGTAACAAACAAACCTGATGGAACCGATCCCAATCGAAATGAGCCACATCTCCCAATCAAGCTTAGTTGTCGTGGCAAATGTTCCCAAGAACTCAACAATGATTACCTATCAAACAGTTTTTAACACACAATAAACGTTGTTATGTCTATGTCTCTCAGATGTACAAAAAAAGAAGTCACTGAATTTGCATTGCAGGGAATCAGTACCTGGAGCACAATGGTGATACAGATGATGCCCACAAAGAGGTGATTACGGAGAACTCCTTGGAAAATGTTCATTTCATCTGGTTTCCGTGCGTTGAACTCGTTGAAGATCTAACAAAATTTAGAATTAGTTTGTTTTCTCATCTGTCCAAAGATTTTTACACAGAGAGGTCAATATCTTTACCTGGCAGATGACAAAGGCATTAAAGATGACTGTATTCTTCACTCTCTCGGGATTGGGTTTACTCTTCAGATGAAGAATACTTATGCCATCGAAATTCAGGATTAACAAGACAGTGACTTGGTACATCGCCTGATAACACGCAAAACAATTGGAGCAGCAGAGAAGGCTTAGAGATTGTGATCTCAAATAAGCGAGGGAAACAACAAGAAGATAACTTACTTGTATAAACAAGTTCCTCCACATGATATTTGTGATGAGAGGTTCTCTGAAAACAAGAGATAAATACAATCGTTATGTAACTAGAAGCTGAGATCACTCGACTTAACACATGCTCAAGACTAATAAGAAGAAATGGTACCTTCTGCCAACAGGAGTTCGATCCATTAAGTGATCGGTTGGTGGTTCAGTGGCTAAAGCAAGAGCCCCAAGAGTATCCATTATAAGATTCACCCAGAGAAGCTACAAAGAAAGGGGATAAAACTCTTTACCAACATGGACATATTTGTTTTTAAGTGAAAAGGTTTGTGCAGATGAGGAAGAGATAGAATAAAATTTATCATATCGAACCTGTACTGCAGTTAGGGGAACCTCACCCGAGGATATGGCAGCCACAACATTGATGACAAGAGCTGCAACATTAACCGTGAGCTGAAACTGGATGAACTTTTGAATATTGGCATACACAGATCGACCCCAACGGACAACCTGTAGGAATCAGATAATTACATAAGCGAATATCCCATTCAAGGTAATTATAACGATAAAAATTCCCTCAAATCAGAACATTATTTAAAAACAAGTGATGTAAATAATTTCGAAAGTATAGTGCAACAGAAGAGTATCAAGAGGAAGCTTATTTTATAAGAAATTTGAATCCCTTGGTTTCTAAGAATACCAACCTTCACAACAGATTCAAAGTTGTCATCCAAGATAATGATGTCTGACTTTTCCTTTGCAACTTCGGTGCCTTGGATACCCATAGCAAGACCTATATCTGCCTGAAATTCAGGAGACAAAACAGAAAGTTTAAGTCGACAATGTTCTTTTAAGGTTACAAATACGAGGCCTTTATGGAATTTTGAACGTAAATATACTGAACCTCGTGGAGTGCAGGAGCATCATTGGTTCCATCACCAGTCACAGCCACAACATGTCCCCTCCTCTTCAGCGATTGCACAAGAAGAAGTTTGTCATTGGGTGATGACCTACCCATTACCTTCAAGTTTAGCAACAATGTCAGGCACCATTAAATAACTGCCTTGGATCACAACCTAAATTCTAATGCTCTTACAGATATCTCTTCAGAAATCCTATCTCTCTCTTCTTCTGAATAGGATCGAAAGACTTTTCCTTCAATCAGATTAGGCTCACTAGCAACCGAGTCTGAAGCTAATATGCCACACTCCAATGCAATTGCTTTGGCAGTTTGAATATTATCACCAGTCACCATTCGGACCTGAGGCCAACAGTGGGGATTAGAAAACCATACACCCTTGAAGAACAGAGCAGTCTAGAAGGGAAACTAAATATGAAGACCCTCTGGGAAAGAAACCAATGAGATATGTACGGACCTTAACTCCAGCTTTCTGGCATAATAGAACTGAATTTTTTACACCTGGGCGACATGGATCCTACAATGAATATATTGCACATTTAAAAAATTGCAATGAACTGATAAGCGATCCACAGAACCACATCAAGGCACATCACATGACTCTTAAAGAGGTAAGGAGAACTGCAATAAGCAATGCTTACCTTGATACCAACTATAGCCAACAGTACAAGATCATCCTCAGGTAATACCCATCTAGCAAGTTGCTCTTCATCAGTTGGAATCTTGTCCGCTTCAAATTTTCTGAACGCAATTGCAACACAGCGCAGACTCCTAGCAGCCATATCATCAATAGCATTTTTTAACCCGGTCATCTGAAAATACAAGACTTGATTCAGAAAAGAAAAAAACACGTATTTCCATCAAAACTCTACCATATCTGGCAAAAACTGACTTGAGATCGTGTAAGGAAAAACCTAATAGAAAGTAAAAACTGACTTGGACTTGCAGTGCGAGAACAGTCTAGAATTAAGACACAATGATAAGTTAAAACTAGACGATAAATTGTATCAAGATAAAGAGAAACACAGTTGCCAACCTTATCTCCACTCATAACTACAACACTCTCATTCTCATCCATATATTGTGTGCAGGAACCCAAAACAATTTCAGCAGCGCCTTTCCAATGAACGTGGACACTCGAATCTGACTGAAAATGAAATGAAGGTTCATTAGGGTGCTGATTGACAAGGGAAAACCACCCACAGACGACAAATCAAAAACATGGCAAAAGATCGACAAAAACGATGATGAGAAAATGAAAACACATTACTGATTTCACTGCTACGCCTCCACGCTTCTTCTCTGAGTTGAATGGAAAAAATTGTACAGCAGAACACTCAGACCTTAGGGCATCAAAATTCATGCCTAACTGCACAGCTTAAAATATTAAAAAGATTAGTTCTCCTCACAGCTATTTAAACTGGAACCAGGAAATGTTATTGGAAAACAAACCTTTATTGCCCAACTGAGAATTGCTCTTTCTGTTGGAGATCCAGAAACCTGAATCTCACCACTCTGTCATCACAAAACATATAAATTATTACACGAAATCAACTGAAGTAGAAACCAAATGGAAAATCAGTAGAGTTCCAAAGTAGTTTTATCATACTTCAGATCGGAACACACTGCCAGTTGTATTATGAGCAATTCCCTCAACAAGTATGGATGTAAAAGTAGGTGGCAATTTGGAGCTGCTATCTGGAGGATCCATCTTTTGGAACCCAGTGTAACACTCAACAACGGTCATCTGAGAAAAGAGATTGTATAAGGGGACTTGCCTGGTGGGCACAAAATTCGATAGCAAAGTAGCTCGCAATTATGAAAGCCCGCATCAAAACTGTAACTTTTAAATCTGAGGCTTTATATTACTAAGTGTTAGTGTGTTAGCAGATACAAAAAGAAGAAGAGCACTAAGATTCACCTCGTTTAAGGTCAAAGTTCCAGTCTTATCACTGCAAATTGTAGTTGCAGACCCCATGGTCTCACAGGCAGAAAGCCTGCGAACCTAAAATTAAACATTTAAGTTACAAACAACATTAACGTACATGAATTTTGTATTTGTGATTCATGCAAACTAATTGAGTCCCAAAAAGTAAAACATACATACCAAAGCTTTATCTGCCATCATTTTTCTCATGGAATATGCAAGACTGCCAGTAAAAAGAAGAAAAGATTAGTGACGAAAAGAAAACTTGTTCAACTGAGTTTTACAGCAGATCC